TGGTAAATCTGCACAAAGTGGGAATAGTATGACACCTATATCCACAGTAGGCCTTGAAACAAACAGGAAGGCCAATAAGAAACGTTCACGACGTCGCAAGACGACGAAAACGTTCCCCAAGAAGGCAGACGATTGCAAGGTCTGCAATTCTATTGTCGAACAAGCAGACTCTGCTTTCGAATGTAACTTTTGTAAGCAATGGGTACATTGTAGATGTGACACCGGAGTACCAAAGGTATATTACGATTTTATGCGCAAGAACCCATGCCCATTGTTCTGGTACATATGCCCAAGTTGCCGTCCTAATGCAGCCTCGTGTAGTTCCTCTAAAGCTACAGATGGCATAGAGATATCAGGAAAAAATGTGAAACGTTTTACTCCCACCAACTCAGAAAACAGCACAATTGCATGTAAATCGGGGATACCAAAATCCACACCGGTTATACTTGCAATTCCTGCCATAACTGCCCCAGACACAGAGGTTGAAGCACCAAGGGTACCTGTCGCTGGGAAAAGACCCTTACCGTCCACCAGTAAAAGTGGCCACAGCACTGCGACACATAATAATACCCAGTTGCACCAGACGAAACAAAACGGTCTTAAGGGGGATGACAAATGTGCGAGGACCGAACCTAAATCCACGGTTAGTCGATCAAACTGCGTTATCCTCTTTAATGTACCAGACTGTAGCAGTAGTCTGCTGGAAAGCAGGGCCCTGTTTGATCAGGAACAGTGGTCCAACTTATGTAGCACACTGGGTCTGGACATCCAACCAGTAAAACTGTGCAGATTGTATAAGGGCACTGCTGCTCCTCAAGGCAAACCATCCCCACTGAGGGTAACACTAGGCTCTGCCGAAGATGCCGAAAAAGTTTTATTGGCTTCCCAAGTCCTTTCTATAGGGAGGACCTGCAATATACGTGTTAGGCCAGATAGGCCATGGAAGGAAAGACAGATGGCGAGGTAGTCGCCAGAGCTTATTCCTTCTGCCTCCATGGTTGTTCACGGCATTCCTGAACTGGGAACTGGGAACGCTTGTGAGAAGCACTGTCACGATGTACAGCAATGGAGATGATTGGCATCCCAGATGGGTCTGGGAAGTTCAGGGGCTGTCTCTATTTTTAGACTGCCTCGACCCACTCACCTAATGTCAATTAACACTCCACGTCTGTTAGCTGTTAAGTTCAGCTCCCGAGACCACTTGACTACTGCTCTCCAGAGATGGTACGAGACCAAGGACAAGGTCAGCAGACACATTCGCTGCTGCGAGAGCCGGCCTCGTACCCAAAGGAGGGAACAAAACGTTGTCATAGAACATCCCCAACCCCTAGTCACAATACAGCGGTGCAGCACGGACGATGATAGCCAGTGTCATCCAAGTGCTCCGATTGAATCAGAAGAAAAAAACGCCAACAGGCCGGTTCCCGGGGAATCGGCCAACTAGTTCGTAGGATAACTCCTCAACCGACAGCCCACATCACGTCAACCACCCCCCAATACGGGGACGTGGTGAGACTGACTACCAGTTGCCTGTACAGTAATGTGAGAGGTCTAAGAGGCAAAATAGCTGAACTTAGATACCTACAATCACAGCTGAACTCCAAAATCATAGTACTGACGGAAACCTGGCTAACCCCTACGGTGGCAGACAGCGAAGTCAGTATAAATGATATGGTCCTTGTCAGGCGAGATAGGGATCTGAAAGAAGGAGGTGGAGTCGCCATATACGCCGACAAACAGCTCAGATGTGTCCATGCAATCGACCCTCCCCTCATTGAGCTCCCTGACTCCATATGGTGCCATTTCACCGTTGGGTACTGTGAATATCTAGTGGGCAGCATTTACAGATCACCTTCATGTGGAGCAGACCACAACCAGGTACTGCTGAATACAATTTCAGCGACACAAGACATGGGTTATGATCAAATTGTCATAGCTGGCGACTTCAATGCCCCATCTCTTAGCTTGATGACGGGATATGCCCATGATAGATTTGATCGAAATCTGCTGCACACCATCGGGGAGGCCGGATTCACTGAAAATGTCAGAATGGATACTAGATGGGGCCCAGATGGGAAGTCTTCTAGACTAGATTATGTGCTCACTGGTGACCAGCTATTAGTGGAAAACGTTCAGATCACGACTCCCATAGGTAGTAGTGGCCACGTGGTCATAACATTCGACATAGTCCTCCGCGAGCGTTTACAGTGGGACAATACACAGCCCTATCTGTGTTATAACAAAGCCAATTACACCCAAATGCGAAGACTTTTGTCTGGAGCAAATTGGCCGAAACATTGGACAGAGCTAACAGTAGAAGAACACTGGAGAGTGGTAAAGGAGATCATTCACCAGGCGGTCTCAGACACTGTTCCTTTAGTCACACCTAAAGCTAGAAAGCAACGTTCATGGCTAAAAAGGGGGACACAACGCCTTCTACAGGCGAAGCGAAAAGACTGGTTTGCGTGGCGAGTATCGAAGAGTCAACCCGAACATGAAGAGTACCTCGAACTCAGGAATCGGTGTAACATACGAGTCCGGAGTGATAGAAGGACATTTCAGAGAAACCTCGCCAATAAGCTTCTCGTGAACCCCAAAAGCCTATACAGGTTTATGTCTGAAAGAAAACCGACCAACCAGGGAGCTTGCAATCTAGTGGGTTCTGATGGGAAATCTCTTACTAGTCTTGAAATGGCAGAGACATTCAGTCTAGCCTTTCACAGGCAACTGAACAGTAACGAGGATTTTACCCCCACAAAACATCAAGATTACAATGCAAGACCAACGTGCGAAAACCCGCTGGGTACATTTCAAATTACCCCGGCTATGGTACTCGTAAAATTGGGAAAGTTGGCTTCGGGAAAGTCCGCAGGCTGCGATGACATAAGACCATCCGTCCTGAAGCAGTGTTCAGAAAGTCTCTGCCAACCCCTAAGTGATCTGTTTCAACACTCCTTTGATGTAGGGAAACTTCCATGTGAATGGAAACGAGCCATCCTATCCCCTATCTTCAAGGGTGGTGACCGGCAGAACGCGACCAGTTACAGACCAGTTGCGCTACTCCCAGTGATATCGAAGATATTGGAAAGTCTCATTGACGACCACAAGAGAAAATACTTCGACGGGACTAACCTACTCCATGAAGCACAGCACGGTTTCAGGAGGGGAAGATCCTGTGTGACGAATCTTCTACTAGCTTGGAACGATTGGACACTATCCTGGGATGTAAAGGTACCAGTCCATGTGATCTTTCTCGACTTTGTGAAAGCATTCGGCACAGTTCACCATGGTCTGCTCCTTCACAAAATAAGCAAAGCGGGTGTTTCTGGAGCACTTCTCGCATGGCTGGAAGATTATTTGGGCGAGAGAGAATTCTGCACCAAAGTCAACCGCATCCGATCATCCTGGCACACCTCGGCATCAGGGGTTCCTCAGGGTTCTATCTTAGGGCCGTTGATGTTTTTGACTTTTATCAACGACCTGCCCTGTCAACTGAATTGCTCTGCGCTTCTCTACGCTGACGACGTAAAGATTTGGAGAGCAATAAACTCATCGGAAGACTCCGACAGATTGCAGGCTGACCTGCAAACTCTGGGGGACTGGGCTCTGGCTAACAGAATGCCTTTCAACTTAAAGAAGTGCAAAGTAGTGCAACTTCATTCTGGCAGGTTACAGAGTGCAAATTACACCCTTGGTGGCCAGAACTTGAGTTGTGTGCCATCAGAACGCGATCTAGGCCTTATTTTAACAGAAAAGCTAGACACCAGTGTAAATTACACGAGGGACATCGCCAAAGCTTACGCCACTTTACACTTTATGCATAGGCAGCTGGGAGCTCTTACTCCTGAACTATTCCTAACGTTGTATACGACATACGTGAGGCCACTCCTTGAGGTGCATAATATCATTGCTCCTCCGCTACTCAAAAGGGATGCTAACATGCTAGAAAGTGTCCAGAGACGAGCGACAAAATGGGTGATCGGCCTCCGCAACAAATCATATGAGGAAAGACTGAAGAAATTAAGTCTTTTCACACTTAGTTACCGTAGTCACGGGGGAGACCTCATCACCGTCTATAAGATCTTAAATGACCAGGCCCATCCTAATAAGAGCATCCTGCCATTAAGTGATTATAGGCTTCCACGAGGTAACCCGCTAAGGATAGCACACCAGAGACCAAGGACTCGAGTGCGTTCACATTTCTTTTCGCTTTGAGTTTGCCGTCTCTGGAACGCTTAACCGGCGGCCGTGACTACAGCTCCATCTGTGGAGACTTTTAAGCGGAAGCTGGACAATCATGCAGAAATGCATGGTTTATGTCTCAATGGCTTACCCTCTTAAAATTTGAAACCACATTGTCAGTGGATAAGCATACAAGCTAAATCTCCACGACCCGTCCTGTCTTCTCCCACTGTACCGACTACTCTATCTTTTCTTTCTTTCTTTATTATTTCACCTTTATTACTTCACTTATCTCAACCTATATTATCTACACTACAACCTACTATTATTATTATTCTACTTTTATGACTATACCGAATGACCAACGGGTGTCGGGTCAAACTCCATTCACGGCAGCAGCTGAGTCCTAACATACTTCACAATACAAACCACAATCTTGACCAATCCTCGCACCACTCCTCTTGGAGTCTACCAGAGCTAAAGCAGTCGAGTGGCGGGACTTACTACGCATAAGTTCACCGAAGATCTGGAACCTCTACCTTACAATCAAGAAGCGAGCTCAAAGAAATCACTGGTTTATACTAGCTCGTAATCAGGATATTGGATATTGGAATATCAACTAAAATTAGAAAAATTCCACAAAAATGCCGGATTATTCAAACCTGGATGGCCAAGGTAATGATAATGTCTGAACCAACTTCTTTTGGATGCATAAATTAGGCTTGTTAATATGGATCCCCGCAGCCTCAGTGTGCATAAGTGACCTTCAAGTGCTCAGCCTCTTCGTAAGACATTTGTGCCGCTATCCTGTCGTTGAGATGACGTCACACTGCGTTGAGGTTTGAAAATTCTGCGTCGGTTAACTCTTTAAATTACAGCAAAAACAAATCAGGTGTCTACAAAATGAGTGCGAACAACTTACTTCACCTACAGAATTTTCCGACATCAAAAAATTGCTGGAGGATGGGGAGAAATCACAACATCAGGCAGATCACTTAGAAAAGGTAAGACAAAACAATTCTGATGTTGTAGTATTTGAGGGAGCTGGAAATTCAAACGAAGCATAACGTCATTGGCATTCAGGCGGCTGTCTCTTCACTCTTTGATTATGCTATCAAAGGTGTCTTCACGGACATCAAACACTCCGTGCAACTGAATGTACCTACGAAACGTAGCTTCGGGGATTACCAGTGCAATTCTGCTCTTGCCATTCGAAAGGTATGTCCTATAATCCTTATGTAGCCCTTAGGAAATCAATAGTGAACTAAGCCCGCTGGATATTGCCAAGTCTATTGTTTCTGCCCTACCAGTTAATGATTTGATTGAAAAAGTTAGTGTTTGCTTTGTTGAGTAACCCATCTGTAGGTAGATATTGTTCCCCCTGGCTTCATGAACATCTGGATTCGTCATACGTTTGTCGCTGCAGAGATCAGCAAAATATTACGTTTCGGAGTTACGCCTCCATTCATCCCTCACAAATATTCCGTAATTGTTGACATGTCCTCTCCGAACATCGCGAAAGAAATGCACGTTGGACATCTGAGGTAAGATGATTGAGAAAACTTGCATAATAATGCCTCATGTGCAGGTTTTTTGTGTTTTTGGTGAACTTTTAGTGCACCACATTTGCAATGTTTCCTATGGACTTGTTGTCGTTGTGCTTCCAGTGGGTAACTTATATTCCTGTTAATCTGAAAGGTTGGTATTAGTGTATCTCACTAGAGCTAAGTCATAGTATTTGATTGACAAAGTTGGAGGATCAGGTGATTTGTGACCTGTGTATTAGTGGTAGACACTCACTGGACCACTGACAATTGTTAGGTGACTGAGCTGTATGTCGCTGTAACGTATGCTATTTCGAGTTTTGCACTGATTAGTTCAGTACATTGCCTAAAACGTGTTTCATGGATATCCTTGGACCGTTGTATCTTGGTTCAGATGTATTTTTCTTTGTTTTGGAACTTCATTGATTGTAAGTTATTGCCCCAACAACAATTAGTGTCATTAACCCTCATTGCATACGCGTGGCTCATATCTTGGTATATGAAAAATTAGAGTTCTTGTCACATGAGTGTTATGTAAGAAATTTGTTGTGAATGGCTTTATTCGTAGGTTAAATGTGGCTCGCAACCTATTACATGATCATCAACTCATGCTTCGCGTGCAATCGAAATACAGTTTCCATTCTTTTCCAGACGTATCTTCATGTCTTAGACGTGATGTCAGTGCTAAACTCACTAGTGATAAGTGGCTTGTGCTAGTGGACGAGTTATGGAAGTTATCCTGTCTGAGTTTTCCGATCCACCTACATGGATATAGAAAATGCGTGTTTGGGCGGTTCAGATATATTAGGTTATATCACGAAGGGACATCACTTAGAAGACCAAAGAGAACTGAGGAGGTCTTTCGTCGTTTTCGGGAGTATGTGGCAGTGCGCACTCACAACCCTACCGCCGATCTAGTGCACGCCCATCAAGTCACCAGAAGAGCCTGTAGAATAGTTTACTTGCACCACCTTTGGTTGATGAGAAATCATCAGCGAGAACGCGAAGTCATGATAATATAATAGGTTTATTCCAGAAAATATTTTTGGTACAAATATGGAATTTCCAGCATGTAGTACAGTATTGCCTCCAACTTTTTGATGACAGAGGTGATAATTAAAACATGCCATAGCCTTGATAATTTTGTTCAGTAAGAATATGAATATAAAACTAAGTGGAAACATTAACAATACCATAATGAAAAAGTGAGTCGGTTTAATTAGAGTTCCGCAGTTATTTGTGTGTGAATGCATTACTGTTACACTTGTAAGGTTTAAGTTGTCCTTTAAGAGTGAAGTTATGAAAGGTTTGAGGCATATCATCTTGTATGGACTCATGGACATACCAAATCATGGCATTATTTAGGAGGCGACTTGCATATTAGTGTTGTAATTGCTAATGGATTGAGAAAACTAGGGTTGTTAAGAGTAATATGTTTTCGGTGTAGCACTTAATTTGTTTTAAGTACTCTTTTGCTCACCAAACGAATTATCAGGCTTTTGTGCTTATCTTCGGAGATTTTAACGGGGTGTCATGTTTACATGATTGTTGTGGCATGAATACAAGCTGCACACTGTTATTCACAAAATAGTTTTGTATAATTCTCATCTAATCAGCAAGTTTGTATTGTACTCTACCGCATTAATTACGTTTTGACCTCATGGTCATTGAACTGAACGTAAGTGACTGCGCTATTTCTATTATCACCTGAAGAGGCTGTCGAGCTAAATGTTGATACCTCAGGATTATTTTTCTGTAGTACACAGAATACCCGCTTCATGTCTTCAAAAGTTGTTTCTCACTTTCCTCTTGTATGGTGGTGTATCGTCTCTCACACAACTTTTGTTTTCTCTTTCAGATCTACCATTATTGGAGAGAGTATCTCTCGACTGCTTTCGTTTCTTGGGCATAAAGTACTGAAGATAAACCATATCGGGGATTGGGGAACTCAGTTTGGAATGTTAATAACCCACTTGAGAGAGATGTATCCTAATCAGGAGACAGCCCCTCCTATCTCTGATCTTCAAGCTTTTTATAAGGCATCGAAGGTTAGATTCGATAAGGAGGAAGATTTCAATCACAAAGCCCATTTAGCTGTAGTTAAACTTCAACAAGGTGACCCGGAATATGTGCATGCCTGGAAACAAATTTGTGACATATCACGTAAAGGTAGGCTTTCAAAATGTTTTCGGATTAAATATGAATTAAGAACCCGGTAATCCAACCTCTAAATGTCACATAACTGAGAAGTAATCAACAAATTAAGTGAGTGTCCGATCTAGCGGAAGTTCAAAGTGCAGCACTCTGATACTTCTTCTGTCTGTTGAAATTAAGCTTGGAAGAGAACTCGCTCACATAATGTTACCAGGTTTCTTTTGACTATTTGTATGATTTGGGATGAGATGGACGACTAGACACACTACTGGGTGTTGAACAGACATCTGCTAGGACCATTGGATAGTCATGGTGAAGTCAACATTACCTAATTTGAGACTTGATGTATGAGTGGATCGACTGAATACATTAAAATACCCAATAGCAAAAGGAGATGAACAGAATTAAAAGGACTTGATTTGTGCCCAGGAAAAAGTAGGTACAAAGTAAACAAACATCCAGGACTTTCGAAAGGGAGATTGTTGAATGTATGTGTGTGTCGCTGAGTAATTTTGCTACCTATTCGTTGCATTCCCCGGTCAACTTTTTTCTGTGTATTTCCAAAGTCACAGTCTGATGTTTTGTGCTCCTCAGCGTGACACTTGTGAAGGCACTGTGCAAGTTTAACGAAGAATCTCTTCTATTTTTATATGTTTCGAGGTTCTCCTCATTCCACGTCTAAATAATCTGGGTTATTGACAGGTAGCAATCATATCAAATTGTGGATTCAACCACTGAGTTTCTCACATTCTTTTATTATCTCACTTTTCAGAATTCGATGATATCTATCGCCGTCTGGATATCAAGGATCTTGTCGAGAGAGGGGAATCCTTCTATCAAACCCGCATGGAAGAGTTTGTTAAAGATCTAAAAAGCCGAAACGCTTTGCAGGAGGATGAAGGCAGACTGATTTTATGGCCACCGAAATGTGAGATTCCTCTCACAGTTGTCAAATCAGATGGTAGTTTTACGTATGATACATCCGACTTGACTGCTTTACTTCAACGGTTGCACGAAGAGAAAGTGGATTGGGTGTTGTATGTAGTGGATATGGGACAGGTGAGGGAAATGAATGTATATATCTGCACATTGTCAAAGCGTTACTTGTCTGCTTTTGTACTTAGATTTCATTAGAGATCAATCAGTCAAATAAATGTTGTATTTAGACTGGCTAATTGTCCTGTGGCCACGGAATTAGTTTTTACAGTGGTGTTTCAGTCTACACCTTTTGGCTTGACTGAGATCAACACTAAATAAGTTCATTTATTGATGTTATAGTTTGACCAGGACACATTGGACCCTGTTTTGACTGGAGGCATTCTTTCAGGTGTATGGTCAGTCTGCTACCTCAAACAATGAAGCGTCAGAGGCGTATTGGTTAGCTCATCTTTCTTACCTAAGACTACGTTTAACCTAATTATCGCTCATTGAATCGCTGCACTAACCGTAGCAACTGATCACTTGCTAGCTCGTGCTCTCACCTACCGTGTGTCCTTTTGAAAGTATGAAGTAACTAACTGCATATAGGGGTTGATAATTCGGGACTGTCGGCATCTTTGAATTTGACTTCTAATTTGATTAGTTGGAGGAGGAGGAGGAGGAGAACGACTAGTGTTGTGTGTCAACGAAGCTTAAGGGTACAACTGCTGGTGATGGTTTAACGATGGCTGTAAGTATAGATACTTGACAGGTTGCATTCAAATACGGCTGCATTTAGGTTGATGTTGTTATTTTATTTCTCACTGATGTGTGAGGTCGACGGGTGTTTTTGCTTAGATTTCAGTCATCTTTGTTATTACAACTATGTTTAAGGATCCAGAATAGGTTATCAAGTTACTGTAAGGTCCATCACTGTTGTTATCATTACTTTTGTTTTGTGCAAAATTTGTTTAATTGTCAGGTGTACACAAATGAAAATTCAAAATTCTTTTATTTGTTAACCCCATTTGGGATAGAGTTAAGATATTTTTCTTTTCATTAGTATAATTTATTGGAATACTACTATGTTAGTTGGTGTCTTTTGGTTTTGAAACTATTTGAATACTTCTACATTTAAAGAATTATGATTATCATAGGGAAATATGACATTTGCTGAAAACTTATATCCTTGTTGCAGGGTGTTCACTTTAACACTGTATTTGCGGGTGCGGAAATGTTGGGATACTATAACCCTGATGTGCATAGAGTTCAACACATTGGCTTCGGAGTAGTGCTTGGCGAGGATAAGTAAGCAGTTTATTAATATATTTATGTTTGCATTTGTCAGTATCAATTTATAGGTGTTTTCGTCTGGTATTAGAGAGTTACGGTATCACATTTTTAAATCATATTTCATAAAGGTACTAATGTATTGGGTAGTTGCTGCAGACTATGGAGTTAGACATTATCTTTTCAGTCAGTCTACAACAATTTATGGTTTTGGTAGAAGTTCTGAAAGGCGATAGAAACGTCACCAAATATGAACTCATTTAAATTGCAAAGTAACCGAAACAAGCATCTAGTATTGTTTAGAGGAGTGAACTCTCATAACCACTTTAGTTTCTTTCAAATCAATTATGAGAAGAAAGTGGAATGTGTATTCATTCAATTTACATCAAAAGGATGTATAGCATTTCATCTCTTAAATTGAAGGAACATTTTTTACCTTTTTATAAATAAGATAGACTAGAGTTTCAGTCACTGGGCTCCGGATTCGAGTCGCACTCCACCTAGTTCAGTCTGGACAACTGGATAGTACAATGAGCCGTCACATCATCGGTTTAACTTATTCTGGTGCGTAAAACACTTGTTCTAACTAACTAAGTTATAACCAGTTGAATAAAATTGTTATTCGTGAGAGCTAAATCACCTTAGGAAAATGTTTAAACGAATGTGATTAAATGAAGATTGGTGGTGTTGATTAACTGAATCCGGTCCACACATTCAAGCCCATGACTTGATGGTATCGTCTTCCATGTGATGATGAGTAATTTTACGGGGTCAATAATGGTGGCGTGTCTGCGCTTGAATGTACTACCTTCATCTCCTAATTGCCCGTCTTGTTTACGGTACAATGGAAGTGATTCGTGGAAATATTTTTCCTGTCGCCCTACCTGTCTTTTCAGACATCTTCACAGATTGGTGGTGCGTTGGTGGTACAGCGGTAGGACGCTTGGCATCCACCCACTTGGTCCGGGGTTTGACACTCGGTTGCCACACTCCTAAAGCTCGCTAGGCCGATGGTAAAGCCAGTAAGTAGGGAAGGTTGGACATGGGGTGTTAATCGCGACGGATAGATAGATTGTATGATAGACAGCGAATCAATATGATGTGACGTTTTTGTCGCGATTATTGGTTAGTTTAATGTAACTCACACCACGTGATGTGACCTTGAGTGTTCTTTGTTTTCTGTCACTTTATTTGTGTGTACATGTAATTAATTAACCGTTCATTTTGTCCGTCCCCTCAATACTGTTCGGTACGTTTTTGTCTTTCCTTGAGTGACAATGGGTTTGTATATTTTTCTTGGTGTAATTGTATGATTTATTTTATGTTTCAGAAGCAGATGAAGTTTAAGTCAAGTCACTCTGCTTTTAACTATAGGTTAAGCCAAGACTCTGTGTTGTCAGTACTGAGCGGAAGGAGTAAATCTGTAGGCAAAATGAATGCTACAATGTTTCGAACAGTAATGGGAGAGGAAAAATATGAGACTATGCCGACGTTAACTGCACAGTCAGAAAAGAGTAGTGAGACTTATGCCCCTGGAAGCAACGAGTATAAATCAAACTATATGGTAGAGTTGGAGCTAGCGAAAATGTGTGTACAGTCCAAATAGAGAAAGAAATTGAATTGAAAAGATTACGACAAGCTAGTTGTGAATGTTCTGATCATAACAAGCCGCCTTACGAGCCTTCTACCTGTCATACAGTCGCTATATCTCCTAACGATGAGTTCGCCAGAGCCATGTCCAAGTTTCTGCACATGCCTAAAAGAGAGATTATTAAGTTTGACGGTATTCCTGTAAATGATTGGAGTTTTATAAAGAATTTTGAAGACTTGGTGGATAATGATGCTATTGTATACCCAACTAGACTAAATTACTTAATTCAGTATTGTGAGGGAGCAGCAAAAAATGTAATGAAACACTGTGTTTTGTTAGAGCCAGAGGAAGGTTATTATAAAGCCCTAGAACCGTTAGAAGAAGCATTTGGCCAGAGGCATGTTGCGGCCCGGACTTTCATAGAGAAACTCCTGGGATTTCCGAATGTTAAAAGCAATGATGCAGCATTATTAAGAAAGTTATCTCACGAGATGCAAGCCTGCGAACTGACATCAAAGCAGATGAACTATGTTTCAGACTTGAATTCTGGTAAAACTATTGAACAACTAGTTCTAAAAGTCCCTGTCCATTCACAGAGAGAATGGATAAAGGTCGCTTGCAACGTCACAAAGAGCGGTCGTGAGCCATCATTTAGCGACTTATGCTTGTTTGTTAAGGAGCAGTCAGATATGGCTAACACCAGGTATTGGCTGCTAATCAATGGTTATTCCAGGGGAAGAAATAGTAAAGGGTTTAGCATCCCTGCGAAGAAAAACTCTGATTCTAAACACCGAGTGTTTGTTACCCGGCTCTCAGAGAATAATGTCGGAAAACCGAATAATGATCCTAAGAATGAGTCACGTCTATTTATCCCACCCTGTATATTATGTTCAGGAGGACATTTCCTAGACCAGTGATCGGAGTTTAATGATAAAGACCTTGACGAACGTTTGGCATTTGTTTCCAAGAGAAAACTGTGCAACGTCTGTTTGAAAGCAAATCATATAGCAAAGAATTGTCGTTCTCCAAGGTCGTGTACAGTTGAAGGTTGTGGTTGGAGACACCACACATTGCTGCACAGAAGCCAGTGATTATCCGACGATATAAAAAATGATTTGCATATCAACTCTCAACTGTGTAGTGATATGACCTTGCACAAGACTCCGAGAAGTGAGACAGCATTCGTTATAGTGCCCATTTTGGCCAGATATAATGGTAATGTTGTTCAAACCTGTGCGTTCTTGGATAGCGGTTCAGACGCAACACTGGTCACAGAAGATCTAGCAAGAGAATTAGGTTTAGTAGGAGCAACTAAGACAGTCTCCCTTAAGACGCTTGGTTGACAATCCACTTTGTCTTGCATGCAAGTAGAACTAGAAGTCTCTCCATTGGATTCGTCCCTTCATGTTACTGTTTCTAAAGCATGGGCAGTACAGAGGTTGCCACAGTTACAAAGAGTTGTGCCAACAGCAGATCAGATGACCTCATGGAGTCACCTAGACGGAATAGTTTTACCGGAGGTTAAGAATGAAGAAATTGAGATGCTTATTGGCTGCAACGTGCCAGAAGCTCATATAACGATCGGTAAAAGGCTTGGTGAAGCTAACAAACCTTGTGCAACAAAGACCCCTCTGTGGTGTGGACATTATTGGGACCATACAGGAAGATCCTTGGAGAAACTAGCATGGTCAATCATACCTCAGCTACAGAAAAAATTGAGGCTATGTTCGAACGGTTCTATAAGAATGAGTTTGACGATGTGAGTGGTCACGTGCCCATGTCTGTTGAAGATCGTAGGGCTCTAAGTATTATGTCGGACGGACATTATCAGATAGCACTTCCATGGCGTCGACAACAAATTTTACCTAATAATGGAAAACTGGTGATGAGTAGACTCAATTCGTTGAGGAAACGCCTCTGTGAAGACTGAGACCTGCACAAGGAGTATACTAATGTAATGTCTCAGTATATTGAAAGAGGTTTGGCTGAAATGGTTGAAGAGGATCACGTTAATGTACAGGTTTGGTACTTGTCACACCATCCGGTTTTCCATCTCCTAAGAAGCCCAATCAATTAAGGATTGTGTTTGACTGTGCGGCAGAGTACTCAGGAATATCTCTGAATAAAAATCTGTATTCTGGTCCGGATCTAGTAAATAATTTGGTGGATGTCTTTATGAGATTTCGGCAGCGACCAATAGTCATCACTGCAGATATAGAAGCTATGTTTCACCAAGTTATCGTTCCTTTGTACGCCAGAAACGCTCTTAGATTTTTATGGTGGGTCGGTGGTGACGTGAAAACGGAACCAGCAGTTTACCGAATGAAGGTGCATATTTTCGGAGCAACATCTTCGCCGAGTTGTGCGACCTTTGCCTTACAAAGGACTATTGCAGACAACGCCGATAAGTTGGACGAGCGTGTTATTCAGGTAGCTAGAGAACAGTGTTGTGTTGACGATTTGCTTACTAGTGTTAACACGTTAGATGAGGGTAAGCTGATTTATACTCAGCTGAAACAGATCCTAAAACTAGGAGGATTTGATCTGACCAAATGGACTAGTAATAACCGAGAATTAGTGAAGTTCATCCCAGAAGAAGATCTCACAGAGAGGAACATCGATATCCTTTTACCTAAAGAGAATAACGAGAGGACTCTGGGTATATCATGGAATGCACTAAGTGATAGTATCTGTTTTCGAACTCGTGAATTTTAAACAAGAACAACCAGAAGAACTCTTTTGTCATACGTGGCTTCGATATTCGACCCGGTTGGAAGTATAGCACCGATATTGCTGCCTGCTAAATTAATTTTGCAAGATACATGTAGAAGGCGATTAGAATGGGATGCAGACCTACCTGAAGACTGTCTAGCCGCCTGGAATAGATGGTACAAGAATATTAATTATTTGCATAAAATTCGTATTCCACGATGTATAATGCCCATTTCCTGTGAACTGTTGAGCATTCAGCTTCACTGTTTCTCAAACGCTTCAGAATTCGCATACGGTGTTGTAGCATATATCCGTGTAGAAGATGTTTCTCGCCAAGTTCATTGTTGTTTACTGCTGGCCAAATCTAGAGTCGCACCATTGAAATCTCTTACTATACCTAGATTAGAGTTAGTAGCTGTTGTATTATTATGCATGTCTCAAGATGGGTAAACATCTGCAACAACGGCTTCGTGTACCTATTTTGTCTACGACTTACTGGACGGATTCATTAATTGTGCTTCATTCGACAGAAAACACTAGGAAAAGATTTGTAAGCAGCAGGCTCGCAGTTACCCATGAGTTGTCCACACCAGATCAGTGGAGACACGTCAGTAGTAAACAGAATCCTGCTGATTACGCCTCACGTGGACTTTCGTTAGATAATGATGTTAAGATTAACGAGTGGCTTTATGGACCACAATTCGTAAGGGACAGGGAAGAGAATTGGTCTTATATGGATGAAGATGAAAGTGTTATCAGCAATAATGTGTTATTGGACGATATCTGTCTGTTTACGTGCTTATCGATAAGAGCCTTTCATATCGAAATGGCACATACCTTAGACACTGACTGCCTTCTGTGTGCATTCTCTAGGTTTGCTGCAAGAAGAGGATACACGAAGCCCATATTTATTGACAACGGTTCTAACTTCAAGGGGTTGATGCTAGTTTGAAGCAAATTATTAGAAGTTGGGATAAGACTAAGATAGCAAATAGTTCTCTAGAAAAAGGATGTGAATAGCATTTCAGTCCACCTAGAGCCAGTCATCGTGGAGGTGTATGGGAGCGCGTTATTAGATCCGCTAGAAAGATCTTACGGATGCTACTGTTTCAGGAAGTGCTGACAGTCGAAACACTGGGAACATTCTTGGTGGAGTCTGAAGGAATTTTAAACAGTCTACCGTTGGTGAGGTTGACAGGTGACGGCGATGAATTAAGTGTACTAACTCCGAATGAATTATTGCTACTTCATAAACAATTGACGTTTGAAGAAATAGAAGCTAGTAGAACGTCATTGTGTAATAAAAGATGGAAGGAAGCACAACATTTGACTGATTTGTTCTGGCATAGATGGCTACGTGAATATCTTCCGATGCTGCAAACAAGATCTGAATGGTTGGATATAAAGCGTAACCTACAACCTGGTGATCTCGTCCTAGTTAACAGTACTGACACACCGAGAGGCCTCTGGCCAAAGACTATAGTTAAGCAGGTGTACTATGACGAAGATGGCCGCGTCAGGACGGTGTGTTTGAAACCTGCAATTCAAGAAGTCGAACGAGATGTAAGAAGCGTATGTTTGTTGGAAGAAGCAGACAACCTGAAGGTTCCAGATACGAGAAGCCAACGTGGTGATCGTTCGCTGGGAGTGTTGATCGCGACGGATAGATAGATTGTATGATAGACAGCGAATCAATATGATGTGACGTTTTTGTCGCGATTATTGGTTAGTTTAATGTAACTCACACCACGTGATGTGACCTTGAGTGTTCTTTGTTTTCTGTCACTTTATTTGTGTGTACATGTAATTAATTAACCGTTCATTTTGTCCGTCCCCTCAATACTGTTCGGTACGTTTTTGTCTTTCCTTGAGTGACAATGGGTTAATATATTTTTCTTGGTGTAATTGTATGATTTATTTTATGTTTTAGAAGCAGATGAAGTTTAAGTCAAGTCACTCTGCTTTTAACTATAGGTTAAGCCAAGACTCTGTGTTGTCAGTACTGAGCGGAAGGAGTAAATCTGTAGGAAAAATGAATGCTACATGGGGCTAGCAACCCCACTCCGTAAAAATAAAAGTCACTGTTACTGAAACTACAAGGCTGTAGCTTAAAGTCCTATATTCCACTCGGAACGAAAATGATTTAAAAAAGTCACAGATTGTGGGCACAGAACTTTGCAAAAAGATGCATTGGTTCAAGTTGCTAGACATTAAGACAGACAACATAAACAAATTACTGTTGCATAATTCACATGATTTAGAGGTTTCTACTGTCCACAAGTTTATGAAAATTGCCAGACTTGCAAGTTTTTGTCATTAAGTCTTCGTATGGGTTTTGTGTATTTTCCGTTTTAACTGTTCAGAAAACTCCTAAGCTCCTACAGAGAACATATGTTCTTAGAAACTCATGTTCACAGATGTGTTATTTATACCAGCTGTTAAGGAACTGCTCTGCTGCTCTGGACACTTATCCATCTATTATAATGTAGACAACTAGGTAAATATTATACAATCCCATAATAGTTATGACTAAATGGAGTTGAGGAATGCTAAAGAGGCAACATTTGAGTTGTTTTACTCAACCTCCAAAATAAAAAAGTCATCTGTCGTCAGTGTAACTCATCACGGACATTGGCATGATAAATTGGTGCTAAGAGATGAACAAATAAGAGTTAATAAAACATGATATAGAAATGTGTGAATGTAGTATGAATTTTCACTTTTGGACTGTAGAATGATCGTTTTCAGTATAAAATATATATGAACAATAAATGTTTCTAGGACCCAATAAAAATTGTATGATGCCGAATATATATATGTATATGTATATAAAAGGCATATTAGTGTTATAACATTGAATCAGGTTTTCAGACACGTTAGTGAAAAGGACTAGAAGTGGGACACCTAAATCTCTATGACCACAGATATTTCCTACCTTGTATCTTTAAACTTTTGGTTAATTTGAAGGGTTTTTGGTGAACTGGCCGTTGATAAGCCGGATTCAAAATCTAAATTTGAATAATCCGGTCTTATAAGGCGGTGGAATGTGACTATCCATCAAGGAAGTGTGTTTTGCTACTGCATGAACATCAGGACATGCAGATTTCGTAATCTTTGGCTTTATCCTCACCCCTCTTTGATATAATGTAATTTAGCTTGTCTCTTGTTTCTTTGATTTGAGTTGAACTCACCACCTTGTTACTCAATTTATTAGTCACTAATCATCTTACGCATCTCTCGTCTTTATTACGTAACTCCTTTAACATTGTATGCAAAGATTGGTTTTGTTTGAATTTGAACTGCCTGTGTAAAAACTAAATAAGTGTAATTTTGTGAGCAGTGCTCACTGAGTTCGGAACCTCCTATCAGCTGACATCATGTAAAATTTGCAAGTTTGTTAAACATTTTCTGTTCATAAACTTAATGATTTCTCTAGGCTATAGGTAGCGCATAAAAAGCCAACGAAATAAATGATGGTACCATATTATTCTGCTAAAACTGTTTTAGCTTTATTCAAAACCATATAGATGTAGTAATTACCTAAACGTGGATTCCACTATGAGTCACCTTTCACCAATTGACTTAAAGTTACATAACAAGACATCGTTGGAGCATCTGAACAAGGAGCCGACATGGCAATCTGAAATTGAACACTTCGGTCCAATTAATCGACGGGGAAATCTAAATCGAGTGAATAATTAATAAGACCCGTTGCATAGGAGGCGGCTGTCGTGACCCAAGTGGTCTAGTGGATAACGCTTTGGCGTTGGAAACTATGGGCACGGGGTTCGAGCCTCGGTGGGAACATCACTACTGATGTAGGTACATCAGAGTGACGATTCCCGAATAGTACGAAATGCGCGGTATGCTGGGTTCCACTGCTAGTCACTATCCACCGATTAACTCCTAGATATTATACCTAAAAATAAGTCTACAAGTCTGAAACTGTCTCTTGTTTCTCAAATGTATATTCGGTTGGTTATTAAATGATATCACTTTATTCTGATGATTTATCAAGGAAAAAATTCAAAACACGTTCTGGTGAAACTGTACGTCTTATTGATTTGTTGGATGAAGGCCTTGAACGCGCGAAAAGCAGATTAATTGAAAAAGAAAGAAATAAGGTAAGTGATTATTTATTTTTTTGAATGTCTAGGAAACTTCTTTTTTTAAATAATATTTTTATTACTTTAATCCTCCGCGTTTCAAGTGGAATAAATATACAGCTCCAAGCTTGGACTATGAAGTTTCAGTAGCACTGGTGTTTATTTTCTACAAGACAGGTTTGTTAGCCTCACGTCCAACCTTTGAAACTCTTCAGTGGGCTTACTACCAGATAGAGGAGAGGTTATGGAGTGCTTCGGTCGGGGATGTAATGTAACTTAGTGTGAAATATGAATGTATACAACATTTAGGCATTATGTATTTATTGTTAAATCAGATTCCTAGAGCATATTAGGAATGTTTTTCAACATTCATTCAACAAAATATGGTTTTACCAATCTTGAGTATTAAGATCATAAATTCAGCTGACCACTGTAATGTTGATTATGACAGGTGATCTTTACTTGATGATAAGATATAGTTGTATCTCTTCTTATTTTTATGCCTGCTTGTATAAAAGTGAATTGTTGGGTGTCAGTTTCAGGATTGACAGGCCTTTCTAGCCGTGGAGTTATGATTTATGCGTATACTACTGGCATAATAACCTTTTTGAACAGTTTTCATTCGTTTATCTATGGCTTAATTTTCTGAGGGTTGTACAAATATAAGATGCCGCGTATTTTATGTAATAAGGGACGTCTTTTTTCCCAGTGTGATTTTTGTATCTGAGTGTGGAAGATAATTGCAAGTGGTCTGTTAGTAATAGTGTCGTGTTCTGGTGGCTCACACTAGTCAAGTTAGACGAACCCCAAACCAACATCACTTCGTCATAAGAGTCAGTGACGTGAGAAATACAAGCAGAGTGAAATTAACTGCAACGTAACTACTATGTAAAATTTGTGCAATAAATAAGGATTTGTTTTAAAAATATCTACTTGCGACTAACATGTTATATGATGTATTTATCCACTTGACAATTATACTAAGAAAAGTGGTGTTTGCATCAGTGAAGTAAACTTCTCCGTGGATTACAAGAGTATTTTTTAGTGTTATTTCTTGGTGAAGATAGGTAAAAACTCCGGTTATTATCATACCTTGTTTTGTTGGCTGATATGAGTGTTTGTTGTCAAACCGACCGCCAAACCCAATCTATATCTACAGCAAAACTAGCACAACTTCACTAAAAAGTCATCTGCATTTAGGATTGATTGATCAACTGGGCGTTTCTTGCGTGTTTCATATAATTCTAGTAAAGTACAGTAGCGGTAAGTAACAGGAATAAACATATATACTTCCCAGCCAACTAGCTTCTGTTTTTTTCGAAACAATGACGAAGATCTGTAGCTCAGGTGAATGAAGTCATTTTGAGATTAGCACCGAAGATGTTTAGATGAACACTGATAGCTTCGCAGCTTGTAGAACACAGTCATACAAAAAGCTTTCGGGATTATTGTCTTTTTTGAAGTGAGGTTACTAAACAATTTTGTAACTAATTATCTAATCAACAATTCCTCTAATTCTCCAAGATTACACATTTTGAATAACATATTTAAATTGAGTTATGTCGTTATTGAGTTGTTATGAAGTATTTATTTATGTTTTTGATCATTGTATTTTGGTCACTTAATGCGGGCAAATAATGCCAATTATGATGCTTTTGTGAAACACAAAATAATAGAATGATAATAATAATAATACCAGTGTAACAACAGAAGGCAAGAGTCAGGCAGCAGATCATTTATTAAGGAAATCAACACATATTTATATATTTTCATGTACATTATTATGCATATTCAAGCAAACAAACACTGTCTTCCGATTGGTTGTTTCTCACGTAAAGTTAATCTTTCATCTATTTGTGACTGTTTCTTGAATGTCAAATCCTCTATATGTTAACAGCATCCGCCTACGCAAAGTCAATCTTTGTTCACATTTTCTCACGACAAATCTTGGGAACGTAAATATTGACGTAAATTACTGTCTACCAATTTGGCTAGTAGACAGCTCTCACCACACTAGTACTTTGTTATCATATGACACTAACGTTTTCTATTTTTTTTTTAATCAGGAATTAACTGAAGCTGAACTGGAGCGTGCTCAAAAGGCAGTTGCATATGGTTGTATTAAATACGCTGATTTGTCGCACAACCGAACGATTGACTATATATTTTCTTTTGACAGGGTAAGTACTACTTATATCAAATGCAAGTAATTGCCTTCTGGTAGGAGGAAATATGTGAACACTAAATTTTAAAGAGACTTAATCACCCATATTGGAACGTATTTTGTTGTTATTTATTTAAAATTGGTAATGAAATCCAGGAGATTCGATTTGTTGAGATTAAAAATCTTTTCGGCTGAATCCATAGACGTTATTTCCTTTCACTTATTGCCTGTTTTTTAAAGTAAAGTCACCATTCAGGATTAGAGGCCAAAATTAGATATCTGCTGGTGGTTACTGCCCTTTCCTTCTTTAGTTGAAGGGATAACTGCGATGAACTGTGGCTATTGCAGTGTTTAATCACCGTATAAGAAACTTATAATAACTTACTGTCTTTTTGGTTCTGCCACAAGTTGTAAATCACTGTCTATATGGCGAAAGTGTTAGATCCCTTTAAAACCCCAAGGTCCATTCGATCACTGTGCTAAATTATAATATGAAACATCTTCCAAATAATGGAGTATTTAATAACTCGGATAGTTACACCTTATAATTTAGCACAACTGCTAATTAGTTAGAGGATTTCCTTTTTCGATAAAATGAAATTTCTTTTCCAAAGAAGTAGATTAAATGACTAAATTAAAGTTGTAATGGATTATGAAATTTTCGAAATAACACACTTGAAAAGTGTTCCTTGAAATACTGTTTTCAGTGTTAATTTTCATGTGATGTTTAAAAAAACAGTTATGCAGGGTAACGTTCTTGTATGTGTTGCGAGAGAACCTCCCAATTTATTGATAGGTCAAACTAATTTCTGTACATAAATGAATTCATCCAGATAACTGTACATCATGCTGTTTCATAACCCATTCACTACATCATCCATGAACTTAAAAAAGGAACGTCATACCTTTTGGGTGAAATTTTCTGCACAAACAATCTGGACACCTGTATAGATGCATATCAACAGCGGCTGCACGTCTCTAGGATGATATTGCTCCTCTACATCTGTATGTTTTGTTCCATCATGCGGACCTGTTATCCAGACAGTGGTGAAATACTAGATATGGATTGAATTTACAACATAATTCGTGTACTGCATCTATAATTCCACGTATTAACTATGGACTCATCTGATTGGTTGACCGAGGTCATGATTATGCCCGTTGACTTGAGTCGCTGTAATTAATTATCCACTATACAACCTTTGTAGTGAAATTAAATAGAACTGAAATTTTTTCAATCGATGTAATGTTTCATGGGATTTGTTTTTACTATTGACCATTATACTTTCAGATGTTGGATGATAAAGGAAATACTGCAGTTTACTTGCTATATGCATATACTCGTATCAAGTAATTAACTGTTTGAAATTCTGTATTCATCAAATATCTTTCTCTGTTAAACTAGTAATCTAACAACTACTTTATTTTAGTGTATGTAAACAATGCGCTGTGTAACCTAAGAAACATGAATTGCATTTATTTTGGTTTGTAGTGACTACCTGGGGAATTCAGAATGCGCATTTCGAGCTATTCGGGATTCGTCAGCTGGATGCGCGTACACTCGCAGTGATTAGTGGTGTTCCTGCTTAGATTCGAGTCTATAACCATCATTTAAAACGGCGAAACATGATACACAAGGCCAAGAGGAGCACCTGTTGGCATCTGAAATGATGGGTGCAGGTTTCGAGTCTCAGTGGGAACACCATCGCTCACTGTGAGTATGCAGCTGTATCCAGGTGACGAGTACCAAACAGGACGAGATGCACATCCCGGATCCCACTGCTAGTCACTACGAATGAAAAGAATTCCTAGACATTGTTGAAGGGTCCGTACTGAAAGCCGACTTGTCAACAGAGAACGAGCACTTCAGTCCGAAACACTCAATCAACGGGAAATGTAAAATTAATCTAAAGAAACAAATTAATGTAACTTGTTTAGACTGAGGTCATTTTGTTCATTGAAATTAGTCCAACACCTATCAAACCGATAGACTGAATATTATTTTCAAGCTGGAAAACTAACGCTGAGCAAACCTTGATTTCGTATACTCTTATTTATTTACAGATCAATAATCAGAAATGCTGGCTATTCGGAACAGACAATCAATGAAATCTCAGAAACAGTACCTTTATTATTTAACCATCCTATGGAGTTCACATTGGCTAAAGCTTTATGTCGATTACCAGATATTTTACTGAAAATTCAGAATGATTTCTTGTTGCACAGCCTATGTGATTATCTTTATGAGCTGTGTTGTACTTTTACCAGTTTTTATGATGCTTGTTATTGCATTGAACGTAATCAGGCAACAGGTATGTTTATTGGTTATAATTCTTTTTTTTTTCAAATTAGCTTTCATTATTTTAGTAGTGTGTATTTGATTGTTTTTGTTGGCTTCATATAGTAAAGCGCAACTAAAATACCTCGGGTTAGTTATTCAGGCATCCAACTCAGGTTAAATAAAACGAGGTCTTCTGTATTAGCGCACATGTTCTTCTATTGCAACCGATTTAATCTCATTATCGATACAGTGAGAAGGGAAACTAACCAAAGGGACTAAATGCCGTGTGCATAATGCAGCAATAACACTGTGGCGTGTGCTATCACTTACAAGATTTATAAGTAGTATATAGATGCAGATACAAATATGTATATCGTCTGCAGGAATATCAAATAGCGGAGTTTTTGAAACAATATGGAAAACATGAAAGGAAGTCGAAGTAGCACAACACCGAAGATATGTGCAAATAGAGGTTCTAATATGTCTTAGACGTCATTTACCTATGTCTATACACCGAGTTGCCAATTACTAATTCCCTTGCCAAATTATCTTGTGTTCTGCCATTACGATATA